GTCCAAGGAAGTACCTCCAATGGCCATCTGAGGAGTGGCCACAAGAGGTATCCTTATGAGGCAATGTAAACACTCAATTTTCTCTTAAAAGGCAGTGTTTGCATGAAAATGACTAAAGGTAATGATTATACTAACCAGAACAAATACATTAAGCTGTTGTTGTTCTGGTGACTATAGTGTCCCTTTAAGGTGAAAATAGCTGAACTGGAAAAATTCTCTGTCACCTTTGCTTTTAGTTCAGCTACTCTGGTTTTATATAGCAAATAACTATAGCCAGTTGTAATGCAGACATATATATCTTATCAAACATATCTGTGGCAATGCCAAGACAAGAAAAGTACAAGAAAACAAGCAAGAGTGCATTATTCACCTGGTCAGCATGGATTTGGCATTCATAACATAGATAAATGCTGATACATTGTGCTTTAAAACTGTGTTAGATTTAATATATTTTTGGGAATGAATGTTTATGATTGTATGGGCAGGATGGACGTTTGTGCCTGAGCTGTATCATAGTCGGTTCTTGAAATCTTTTTTGAAAATTAAAACATTGTGAGTTTATGCATAAGCAATGCAGAGGCGGCTCTCTAATTAGGTGATTTAGGCAGCCGCCTAAGGCCTCACGGGGATGGGGCATCGCGGCCGCCTAAATAGCCTTAGGGCAGTGTGATATGTCGGGACCTCGGTCAGAGACTGAGGGCCCGATGCAGGAGGGGGTCCGGCAGTTTGCTCTTTATGCCGCCGGGTGCGTGTCCCCTCCACAACGCCTGCCCCGGAGAGCCAGCCTCTAGCCTGCAGCTCCACCAGGAGTGAGTTGCAGACTGAGATGTCTCACGATCTCAGCCAATCAGAGCGTTGCTGCGGGTTACCCCTTTTAATCCTGTCACTCTCACCCCCTCCAAGCATACCAAATTCACCCACTCTCGCTTTGCCACATTTACCCTAGCATATTAATCCCCCAATCCTGCTAGACTTACATTCTCTCACACTGTCACACTCACCCCCTTCACCCTCCCACACTCACCCTACCACATAAACCCCTCCAATCCTGTCCTCCAACTGTGCCACATTCACCCCAAACCCTGTCACACTTTCCCCCACAACCCGGCCACACTCACCCTGTCACATTAACCCCCCCTTAATCTTGTCAAACTCCCTCCTCCAAACATAGCACATTCACCCGAAAGGTGTGATACACCCCCCCCCCCAACTATGCCACACTCACCCTGTCACATTAACCTCCTCCAATCCTGTCAACCTCCCTCCACCAGCCATGTCACAACCCCCATCATTCTCACCCTCCCTTATTCTGTCACACTTACCTTCCCAACCCTGTCTCATTTACCCCCCTTGCCATGTCAAACTCACCCTGTCAGACTCACCAACTGAAGACATTCATCATTCGCACACACAGACATGAGCAATAGCTGTGCCATAACACAATGCACAAAGACCACAGGCAGCCCTTATAAACACAACACACCGCAAGCAACTACCCCACACACACAGATCCCATACACATGCTCACAAAGACATACATTAACACACAAGGATACTCTCTGTCAGACACACACTTTCAGGCACATACACAGGTAGACAATGTCAGACATACTCAGAAATACACACACCTGAACATATGTACCCCGTAATCATGTATAAACGATTAGCATAATTGCTAATTAAATGTATTACAAATTATTTTTTTAGCAAATTATGCCATAACTTCAGTCAGAGAGCTCACAATGCACAGGCACAGGGATCTGCGACACTGCAAGCCTCTGAACAATGAATACAGAGACTAGCTCTCTGTATTCAGTGCTGCAAGCCCATCCTTCAATATAACTACAGCAGCTTATACACACACAACGAACCCTATTTATTTTCACTTTATGTGTTAGTGGGGGCCTTATGTTTGAGTTTTGCCTAAGGCCTCACAAAGTCTAGAGCGGCCACTGAAGCAATGTTACTGATATTAAATATAATCTATTTTGTCATAACTTTGCATTTGCACTGCTATGTTATGTATAATAATCTCTGAAAGGTTACTGCATGTATTACAACTAAAACAAATATTCCTAATGGACAAATAATGGCAGAATTTTAATATCACATTTTTTTCACAGTATTTTATTAGATCACCTGTGACAAAGTACTTAGATCGCTTTGTAATTTTTGGTGTAACTGTTCGACTAATACCATTTTCTGGTAGTTGTTATTGTTATTATGTATCAATATCATTACATCCCTCCCAACATTGGAGTTATGAGATTGTGATGGGTGGATGGTCCTGAGAGAGAACATCACCATAATGGGCAGGCCGACCAAAAAACCACAAAGGAGCATATTTAGAATGACCTTGCAGCGGGCACTGTAGAAGCGCTCTCTGCAGTGTCCTAGTATCCATGCACAGTGCACAAGTGTCTAATAATGCGCTGTGCTGCCAAAGAAAAGTTTCCTGGCATCCCCTGGTATGCTTCTTAATTAATGGCTCTCCAGACTTCGGCTTGTAATCCGATATCTGAAATAAAACAAAGAGCCGATAATAATGCAATATGTTTAGTACTACGTGTGGACTCACAACGCAGATATGAATACTACACTATTTTTGCTTGTGTCTGTATAAATAATACCCATTGTCTGTGTAATTACCTAAAAAAAGGATTGCTCACATGGATTGAGGTAAGTGCTTGGCATTATGTTTATTCTAGAAATAAACATAAACAAGGCATTTGACCTCTGTATTCATATTTATACAGTTTTTATAGTTACAAGTTTCACATGGAACATTGGCATTTAACATCAATTCTTTAGATAATGTATGCTGTATAAAAACTATTGGAAAATAATCTGGCTTTATTAAGTGACTCCTCTCTGACCTATTACCCTACAAACAGATAAATGATGCTTCAGGATGGTATCCACTGAGATCAACCAGGTATTTGAACGTTTTGGAATTCTACTGTGTCTCCTTCCTACAGGGTTGATAAGATCCACCTTTCAGTAGCCTCAATCATATCACCAGGTTGCCAGGACACTACATGAATTGGGTGTTAAATAACAAAACATTATTAGTAGATAAAGATGAGTTTCACTTCAACCCTACTTTCCTGCAGGCTTTAGATCTTTCATGGCCCCAAACCTGTGCCGCGAGGTAGCTGCATAACGCAGGTGGAATATGAACAAAATTAACAGCTTCGTGCAACAGGGGTCAGATGTTTGATATGAACATAGTTGTATGCAGTTGAGCAATGCTGATGTGTCTTACAGACAGATAAGGGTTTTGCTGTGATTAAACATTGCTCATTACTGTTTTTTATTTTTGTTTTATTTCTTGAATTTACGATATTTGTGTTCTTCAGGATAATTCCTCCTATAAAATATTTTCTTCATATCTCCTGCTTTATGACCAGGGTTTGTTGGGTATATATTTAAGAAGCCATGACAGTTTTCCTATATATGTATTTCTCGACTCAAACTATAGTCATTTATCTGTAATGGATTAACTCTCAAGTGTTGCACTTTTTTTTTTTTAGCAAAAAGAGTCAACAGTAAAATGTTTAATTTTACAAATGTTCTTTCATACTTTTTACCCATTCTCAACTTACCTTAAATGTTATTTTTGGATTTGTGATAGGGTCAACCTAAGTGTGAGTTCTATAATGAGCACAGAGCTTCCATGGGTGGAACAACTAGTCTTGGACAGGCAGAGATACATAGACTCTTATCTTAGTATATTAGATGTAATTTTGGCTTGTTTGCCCTATGAGGTAACTGTATCCTGGGATTCCTGGCACTAATAATGGTAAGAATGTTATGACACCTGCACAGAAATATTGTGATCTTCACTTTAATAACACACCCTCATCCCCAATCTCTGTACTCTTTGTGCTGTGCGTTCTATTGATAGTTCACTTCTTTCCCCCACGTCACTGCCCACCCCTCAAGGGAACTAGATGCAGCCAAAGCAGAATTAAAAGGGGAAAAAACATGCAAAGAAAAAAAAATGGAAGCAGAACAGAAAAACATTTTAAAGCTCAGGAATTCCCCAAAGGAATTGTTATCCTGTACACAGCAGAACTACTGCAGCAGTGCAGCCTTCAAAGGTAATACAGGAGAGCCGCTGGTTTGTTTATACAATGTATTCAGGAAAGCAACATAACAGGAGATGCAGAACTGTAGATGGGAAGTCAGTTGGCCAACAATGAAAATAATATATCATTCCCGAGGTTGTGGAAGGGAATATCATAAATGTCAATTGTCAGTAAATCTGACAATGTATATTGTTTTATAGAATAGTACATTTCTGCAAAGAGTTAATGTTCAAATGGTGCAATACAATTTGGTGTCTAGTGTCTGAAGAACGTTTTGTTTGGATTGACTTCATAAATGAAGATTTAGGAAGCGGGTTGTCCATGTCTGCTGCAGACATGCTGGTGGCTGACCAGGCCAATGCGGGACAGGCAGATCTGGCAGCAGCTGCAAGGGAAAATCTGGTCTGACTTTGAAGCCACAATGTCACGGTCCTTCCTCTGTTTCTTTTTATTCTCAATATCTGCCCAGCATGCATTCTCAAAGGAGGAGACAGCCTGATGAATGGTGTGTCTCCAAGTCTTTGGAGAACATCTTCTACTTATGGTTTGAATCTTTCCTATTGCTGCAGGGATTAATGATTATAGTGACCGTAGGTGTAACAGATCCCCTGTCCCATTAATACTGCATTTTCCATCGACTGATTGGCATACCAACCTAACCAAACAGATTGTCTCATCTGGTTCGTATACCGAACTAGGAACCGAACACCTAGACCACCCAGAACTGTCATGTGCTGCTTGTTGACCCACTTGACCTCTATAACACCTTCCTAAACCACAAACACTTGAACGTTCTAGGTGGTCGGCTGGGTAACCGCCGTTCGTATGGCCGAACACGAGGCGGCCGCCATCTTGTTTTGTCGAACAAATCCAGCGGGATTTGGTCATCGAGTGCATGGAACTATTATCGGAAACTCGACGGCACGAACACCGCTGAGACTTCCACTTCCAAAGCGGCATTCGGTGAGAACAAGCTCCCGAACAAGAGCCACTGGGTGAACATATACACGAACACTTTGTTCGTCTATTCCATTGGATTTTGGTACTCCCAAAAGAGACCGACTGCACAGCCTAATTTCATGGAACTCTTTTGGGCAGGCTCCTCATGTGCGGTCGGTCTAAACTATAAGCCGGTGGCGTTTCGGCTACATTCATGGGACCTGAGTGATTTCGACATATGTGGGGCGCTCTGATCCATGCTCTCCAGGGATATAGGTCTTGAAGGGGTACCTCATTGTAAACCATATATTTTGGGTTATATTGTTGTTATGCATGTCCTGGGCCTGAGAGATAATGTAATTATGTGTGTGCTTATGTTACTGTCCCCTCTCAGGTCCAGTGGGGAATGCCCCTGGAATATGTCACCAGAAACCCCTTGCATGGACTTGCCTAGAAAGCCAGCTGTGGCTCCATGAAAATCAGTTCAGCTTTACCCTCAACATAGAGCCTCGTGTTTGTAGGGACCTGCTATACAAGATATACCGCTTCTGTACCGATTGGATTTATGCTTTTGAATACTTCAGCACTCTTCATACTAGGGGGAAAGGACATCTCTGGTGGCGGAAACCCCTACACTCTCACGGTGGCTGTGACAGTAGGCAATGGCATATCCTTTGAGCCTGAGCAATGGATGTTTTTTTAATGGGGGCAGTGTACGCAATCCTGGCCCCACTCTATACACCTGGGGTTCATCTGCCATGGCCTAGCAAGCTGGGATAGTGACAGCGAGATTCCCAGGTCATATGGTCAGGGCGAGCAGTTCTTGAGTCGTCCCCACCATGACTGGGCCGATTCTCCAGGTGTCAGAAAATGGGGGCGCCAAGAGGAGCCCTGTCACAGGGGGCCCAGGAGGTGGACATTTGGCCACTTCAGGGCGCTCCTGAAGCTGTGCTTGGTAATATCCTGATGGCAGTTGCCTGCTCTGCCAACAAATGCTGGTGACTGGAGGAGAGGGGGACAGAAAAGGCAGGCAGCGAGGGAGGCTGCTTTTAAGACCTGTCTGACTTGGGTGGCCGTTGTGGCAGCCATGCTACCACCAGCATAGCACGTAACATAATCGAAGCAGTCAAGCCCCTCTTCCACAACAAGGCCAGTGTCCATGGAGAGGCCTGAAGAATAAAGATGAACAAAATACACAAAGTGCTATTCATTAAATCAGGAATAGCTGGGAATGTTTCGCCAACAAAAAGAATTTGGAAAAATTTCTCCTATTTTTGTGAATAACTATCAACCTCACTTATACCTATTAAATGCAACCTGTCCAAGGACTATTGACATTTTCTGATATTGAAAGGTAGCTATAAAAATCATAAATGTTATTTACATATACTCAGTTCATCACGAATAAAGAGGACATGTGATCACAACCCCTGCAAGATCAATTGTTCCCTGTAGACACACTCATTGTGATATCTGGATCTGGTGGTCGATGTCTTTGTGGTTTCCCTCTTAGCCTGTCATCCCTGCATCCTTCAAACCATACAGGCTTACCAGTATTTGGGCTTACTACGTATGTCTGTTTAAATCTATCTCACACAGACCTTGCTGTATTTGCAAAAATTATGCTTGAAGAGGTTTTTATGCAGTATCTTGTGTCCTGGTTAGTTTTGCGTTGATTGATCTTGATTACAGGTAGCCTTATTGATTTCATGCCCTTTTGAAGACTTCATAAAATAGAAATACTTCAGCACATTCTTCCTGTATCAATAACCCTTTGGGACTCTGATACAAGAAGGACTTTTTTTCTATTGTATGCCATTGTACTAGCTATTGGGTATGTGCTGCACCACACTTTCGCTTTTTACTATTTGACCGATCTAAGCCAGCCAAAGATTCTGTCTGTATTCTTTGTCTATACCGGTTCATGTTTTATAATACATCTCATATCTTATCCTTATCTACTAGAATGTGCCAGTGACTCCTAGTTAGTAAAGTTGTTACAAGATGAGCTTTGACTCAGAGACGGTGAATGTAACGTTGAGTCTGCTGAACCAATAAAATGACATCACTTCCTACAATAAACACAATATCCTTTTATTTGGTGCTCACAAAGCTTTTCACAAGCTGACGTTAGAAAGAATTATAATAGGTTGAAACTTTTCTATTCTTTGTACGTACCTAATACAGAAGTGGCATTTACCATTTTTTTTATATAAACTGGTGATTGTTACTTAGTGAAGTGACAGACAGCTTTCCCACCGTACATAATGTGGTTTTGTGTGTTACAGAAATAAAATAAGATGAGATGGGTCCCAGATTTGGAGTGTTTCACTAAATCTAAAAACTTTTTGGAAACTTTTGCAAATAATGCTATAATATCAACATGCTGATTGGAGGTACATGAAAAACGTGCCTTCACTGTACGTAGAGTTAACGTGCCTCCATTTATTAATTTTTTTGTCAATCTTTCTTTTATTGAGATGATAGAGTTGTACAGATAAGGAATAACAGTGTGTCAGAGCACTTTGGTTTGGTAACAAGATCAACATACAAGATTAGTCATATAATGCTCTGTGCAAGAAAGACAGCTCGTTTTTTGCTTTAGTGCATATCACAGGCTACAGTTACAGGTTTAGGTTGTGCCTCCATTTATTATGAATAATTAAACATACTGGTTAATTAATTCATTTCTTATGGCAGCATGTGAATTCTGCATACTGCTGGACAGCACTATTTATTCACTTCTTGGCAGTGTGCCGAAGTTCAAAACATTGTTAATTATCATTTGTTTTGAATGGAGCAGGACTTTACGTCAAACCATGATGAGAGTTAATGTTCTACCACAGCTGAGTCTCCACCTTTTAATTAGTCTTGTTTTTCATTAGTTCAGCTTTTACTTGTGAAAATGAGCACTGCCTGCCCATATGAAAGTATTGCGCTAGCAGCGCTACCATGCACATGTCTTTTTTGCTAGATTTGGAGGCCTGCCAAAAAAGAGTAAATTGTGGTTGACAGGTGTGCTTAATCCTATTGGACTGGATGGATGTGTTCTTTCTTGTATCCGAGAGGACGAATTGTTAATAAGATGCAGTTTGCCTTCATTATGTATGGAGCAAAGAGGGGGGATGCTGCCCTTTCTCCTTGTTATGGAACTCATTACTATCTCAGACAAGCTGGCTTGTTTTTCTGTAATTGTCTAATAACTGTTTCATCAATGGAGGTTCTGAGTGCCTTAACCCCTGCATTGCTAGATTCCTTATACAGAAAATACACCAAAAAGACACACTTACCAGGGTGTTTTCTCACTAAACCTGGCAGCGTAGGGAATTGACAATGAAATTGCACTTTTTAGGCCAAAAGAGACAAATTAGAAAAAAAAAAAAAAAATTGTTTTTTCCAATATGATGCAGGAAAGCTTGAGTAGTGAATTAATTATCCATCATATTCCCAAATCACCTAGGTAGCGGAGTACGGGCTTAATTCAGAAAAAGATGTAATAGTAGACACCCACAACGGGTGAAAAAAATATATAAACTATACACTTGTATTTAATTCACCTATCAAGAAATTAATTCAATATTCCAAATATTGCACTATAAATAATAGCATACCCAATTCTAAGTATGGTTTTGGAGATGTTTGTTCACTCTGGTTTTAAAGACACATTCTAACCACCATATGTGCTATAGTGCTTCATCCCACTACAAAGAGTAAAATTGTTTGCAAACAATACCTGGGTCTCCCAAATACCCACAGTCCAACCCTTCTTCACAGATATCGCTAAAGAGGAAGATCTTAGTCTGCCTTAGTAATATAAAAAATCTGACAGATGGACTGGATTCATTGTGTAAAAGCATTAGTCAACACTAAGCCAATGAGTTCCATGCAAATAGACACAACTATTGTGAACTTCCATTTTAGTGATATTAGGGAAGAGGGGCTGGAACAGCAGTGACCCAGTTCAATGTCAAGCTGTTAAAAATTGTTTGATATTTAAAAGTGGGAGAACACTAGGGGACATTTGTCACCATAACTTCTACACACTGTAGTGGCTATTGTCCTTAGAGTGCCCATCTAATAAAATGTACCATCTCTACCTAACGTCCGATATATATCGGCTCCTGTAATCGTGCCTCTATTTCAGTATGATTGAACAATGCTCATATAGGCCTCGTCTTCTGCCCTTTAACATAGAAATACTTATTTTTTTTTTTCATACAGTCCCAACAGAATCTGCAGTGCTGTACAATATAACAGGTTTTTGACAAGTTAACAGACATAACGTAGAGTACATTCCATACACACAGTGCTAGAAACTGACGGTAAGAGATTTGCAAAGGACAGAAAGTGTTTGTGAAGTTTCAGAGAATGCTTGCTGCTGTGAAGCATAGGCAGCTGAATGGCAGCGAGAGGTACCGGAATTTCTTAGGATAGGTACAGCTGAAAGTGAGAGGATGTAATGAGATAGAAAAACCATTCAGGCCCCGTGCAGAGCAAATACAACTTTTCAAAGAGTATTTAGAGAGGGGACAGACCCTTTAAGGGGTGCAGTACTTGAACTCTGTACTCAACAGTCAAGACTTTGAATTTTATTGTAAAAGGTGTCCAATGGAGAGACTATCAGAGAGGAAAATCAAAATGATTAACAAAACATGAGACAAATGAGTTTACCAATAGAGTTCATGACTGATTGGAGAATGGATAATGGATTGAAGTTTTCCTCTCTCACTTGTTCGCCACTGGGCTCTCAACGGCATCATTCTATATATATATATAAATAAACAAACCACCTCTTTTACAGGTAGGATTGTCACAGATCTTGCAGTAACCACAGCCTTCGAGAGTATAGAACGTCCAGGACACATTCAGCTCAGTTTTCCTTTTTATTTGATAAAAAGCAGGTGCTTTAAATAATAACAAACAAACAAAATCCCTTGCTCTTACTTGAGCTCTTACTAGACAGGTATTACTATCTGTAACTGGGTGGCTTTCCCACTTACCAATATTCCCCCCCAAAAAAATGAAGATAGCTTTGCAATAAACACAAGTTTTGTTCCCTCTCCTAGCTGGCTTTTTCTCCCTCACTCTGCAGCAGGCTGATCTCTTCTTTTAAAGGCCTGTCTGCTAATTGACTAGCTACAGGTGAGTGCCAATTAGTAAACCCTTAAGTCAGATCCAAATTGTGGTCTGTTACACAGCAACTAATGCTGTTGGTG